TTTTCAAACTTTAGAATTAGTTTCAAGAGATCTGGAACTCTTTTTACAAAATGGATGTTGAATTGAGTGTGTGTTTGAAGAGAAGAAAAAAACAAATAAATCCTTTTCCCTGCTGGTTAAGTGTTTGGTGTATCTATTGTTCCTCAAGCATTAATCATTCATGAAAAGGTCTTAGTAGTTAAGACGTTAAAGCCCAAAGCAGTGATAGCTCTGTTCCCTTATCATGTCTGGGGTGCTATCCTTATGCAACTCTGAAGTTCGCAGTAATGTGGAACTAAAAGCTAAGTATAATGATGCTGATTTTTAAGTGTTAATATGATTGACAGATATATTTGTAAATTAAGTACTCATTTTAACTTAATCATGAATAATTAAGTCCCCCCAAGTCCTCCTTTGGAATTTTAAGACACACACAGGGAAAGTTAAGTAATTTAGTTAAGTAATTTGGGATGATTGAATTTCTACTTTCTGAATGACTTTATATGTATTAAGTCCTCCTATTCAGTTTAAACAATGATTAGAACAGTGATTCTCAAACCACTTGATAAAACAGATTTCTGGGCTTCATCCCAGCATTTCTGATTCTGAAGCACATCTGGGTGGGGCCCCAGAATTTGTAGTTCTAATAGGTCCCCAAGTGTTGCTGATACTGCTGGCCTGGGGACCACATTTGAAAACCAGCTTTATATGTAGATCAGAGACTTAATGAGGTTAATGTTTATCGCTAAATCTTGATACCCCAATGGATTGGCTATGAAACACAGCTACTAACTAAAATATAAGTTCACCAACCAGTTAAGCAGCTACAACAAAATTAGATTAAAATATCAGAAGAAAATTTTATAAATTTAGAGTATATATCTATGAATTATTTCAGTGTCTTGAGTGTTAGTCTCATATTTTCTTTTTACAAGTTTTCTTTCTTATTAGTAACTAGAGGCCCGATGCACAAAATTCATGCAAGAGTAGGTCTTCCTTCCCCCAGCTGTGGGCACTGCCTTCCTCTGGCACCCAGGACCCAGGCTTTCCTCCGGCGGTTGGCAGGCACCTGGGACCCGGGCTTCCCTCGCAGCCCCGGCTTCGTCCGGAAGGTCATCCAGAAGGATGTACGGTCTAATTAGCATATTACGCTATTATTATTATTATAGATGGATTCTTAAAACTATTTAGAGGACTTTCATATTAAATGAAAACAAACAAAAAGAGCCAGAGTCAGTCATACTCATAAGATTTTGACAGTTTTAAACAGAGTAGCCCGTTCATTGACCAGATGAACTTAGTGTTGTCCAATTCTATAAATAATTTAAAAAGAATGAATTGACTTTCCATAATAATAAAATACTGTATCTTTTTTCAATAGGAGGTCAATGTTACCACTCTAATCATCTTCAGCAAATACAAACTATTGATGTTGAGTCATTATATTGACTGTTAAAAGAAAGTTCTGTTTTACAAATCTGATAAAACACAAAACTCAATATGCTTATTTTTATATGTGCAAACAATTGGTTTGCACACAAAGCTGGTGCTTAATAATTGATGAATAAATGAAAACAGACTATCATTAAGTTAGAACCACCAATATTTTTAAAACATCTACAAATGTACATAAAAATCTGGAAATGTAAATAGCTTTTTGCCTTGCCTCTCATCCAGGAATATTCTGCCCTTATCTATGCCAACAAGTAAGAGTAGAAAGTACACTAATTTGTGGAAGACCTACATAAAATGTCACCAATGTCTAGTTATAGAGCCAAGGACAAAAGGTCACATTTCTTTCCTCTCCCACTGGACTGAGCACGGGAGCCTGACAGTCCAGCCACCGTACCTTTAGAGCGAGCTTTGCACTTTGAAAGCATTAATGTTTGAGGATGTTCTTACTCTGGTAAAATGCTATACATTCATTAAAGTATCTTCATTGCCCTCAACTCGGGGTCCAGAACATGCACATGTGGAAGAGACCAAAACCCAGTTTACAATCAGGAGCCCAGGCCAGTGGGATCTGCAACCTGAGCAGAGCTTCCCAGCAGAGCCCAGTTTGGGTGAGCTGACCCCCAGGTGATGCCTACACCTCTGAGAAATAATTACTTCCTGCTTTATGTCACTGAGATTTTGTGGTTGTTTGTTACATACTAGAGGCCCGGTGCACAAAAATTTGTGCACTCAGGGGGAAGGGAGGGTCCCTCAGCCCGGCCTGTGCCCTCTCGCAGTCTGGGACCCCTTGGGAGATAACGCCCTGCTGGCTTAGGCCTGCTCCTGGGTGGCAGAAGGCAGGCCCAAT